ATTTTTTAAAATTTATTTTTAAAATCAACATATCAAAAATAATTTAAAAATATAAAGATAATAATTTTAAGTAAAACAATTGAATTTTGGTCGACTTTTATTTGGATCGCAATCCCAAACTAGGGCCAAATTTTAGTTACCCCCTCCAATAATAAAAACCCTTTCTCTGCTCTCTAAAAATAATAAAATAAACTTTTAAATCAAGATTCAATTTTGATATAGTTGGGTTAGGTTTGAACTTATAATTATACCTAACTCAACTTCTGATTTTTTGAATTATAAACTCAACTTATTTAATTTTTTATGGACTCACGGGTTAGATATATTTAGTTGAACTATTGTTTTGTGATTATTACATATATCCAGAGGTCAAGCTTATATTACTGCTTTTCACGAGTCTACATTAGAAGGCAAACCTAAAACGTTGATTGTAGGTGCCATGACATCTAAATATCATGTCTAATTTTTATATTTTACACTATAAAATTCGAGTTAACCCCTCCAATAAAGAGATAAGGTTTTATATATATACACACACATTAAATAAATCTAATAAAAAGCTTATTAACAAGAATTTTGGAGTCAAAACATTTCTAAATAATAATAAACATCATCAACTATTAAATATAAAGACAAATAGAGTATATATATTGAGTTGATTGAGTTTTAAAAATTCCAACTTGATACCTAACCCTTGATATTAATTTCTTATGTCTTTTTATTCATTATCATTTATAATATCTATATTATTCAGTCTTGATACATCAAGTTCAAATAATATAAATATTACAAGTAGGTTGATTTCTTGAACATCTCTAACGCAATCTATACTTGTAAAATAATTGAATTAAGACAATTAGACCAACTCTGGAATCATATACATTCTATCACATTAGAGAGTGCTTGTTTTTACTTTAATTGTTGTGGTTGCAGTTGGAAAAAAATGATTTTAAAAAAAGCACTTTTCTATGGTTTGTGTATATATTTTGTGTGTTTAGTTAAAAATGTAGTTTGACTTTATTGTGGTAAAAACATGTTTGGTTAAAAATGTGGTTGAGGTTAATATTATACCTAAAATCACTAAAAAGGATATAAATGAAATAATTCTTTATGCTAAGAGGAAATAAAAATGTTGTCCAAATACATACCGACCAAAAAATAAAATCGTTATTTGTTATTATAAAATAAACATTATTTTCCCATTATACTATTTGCAATGTCATCACGAATATAATCAATACATGACGCCCTCTGGTGCCCATGTGGTTGTGATTGTGGAATGACATTAGGAAAAGTATCAGGAGGAACAAAATCAGAATGACTATCAAACTCGTTGAATGCAACATTTTAGCTCGACTTCCGCCAAATGTAGTTATACAGCACTATTGATGTGACAATAATTTTAACCTATGACTTGTAAGGATACTCATGCATGTTTTGCAATATTCACTACCTTTTCTTCCAAACTCTAAATGTGCATTCGATTACACATCGTAAGGGTGAATAGACTCGGTTGAATAGTTCCTCCCGACTTCGTGATTGTCCTCATCAATGAAATTTTGGAAGATGATATCTCTCCCCTTTATATATACCCAAGTAACCATACTCATTCAAATATCTCAAATCAACGAGATAATACTTCCTTGCATAAAATCAATTATTGTTTAATGCTTACTTCCTATTTCATAGAAAAAAATTAGAATAACTGAGCAACAACCTTATTTTTTGCTGGTGAATACCTTCTAGTGGCCTTGAAAATTGTATATTTGTATTTTCAATCGCCTCATGAAATATTTTTGTATCGTGTGCAATACTTTCCCACCCAACCCAAACAAATATAAATTGCATGTCAAAGCTACATACTGCCATTATATTTTGCATCGGTACACCTTTTCTACCAATAAATAAGATTTGATTTTCTTGTGATACACATGCACAAACATGTGTTCCATCAATCGTTCCAATACAATTCTACAAAAATAAAAAAATTGTTACCGAATCAAATTAATTTTACTTAAATATTTGATTGTAACCTTTTGAGATTGTTACCGAATCAAATTAATTGTACTTAAATATTTGATTGTAACCTTTTGAGATATTTTACAACTCCTAAAAAGTTTTTTTTACCTTGAAATGGGGCATATATCTCGGATTCATTGCAATTTCTAGTGGTGTTGTTGTGAATTTTTGATCTACTGGTCTGATTAAATCAGCAGTTAGCAAGCATACAAAACAAAGAAATTTGTTGAAATTTCTAGAAATGGTTTCATCTGAATGTTAAAATCTCTCATGAACTTCCCTATTTGAAGAGCCTAGAGCTAAAATATAGAGAAACATGCCTACTTTGTCAATAACACTCATCCGTCTAGACGATTTCAACCCATACATCATTTTCAACTCAACAAACAAACTTTTTAATATGTCTGCATCCATCCGAAATATATTCATACAACGTACCTAATGCTTATTTAAAATTTCAATCAACCATCGTATTCTAGTGTTGTATGAAACCATACATGATTCTTTATAAATGTATGTATTGTAATACAAAGTCAGTGCTCCAGCAGTGTATATTATTAATTTAGTGCGATCACGCTCTCTATGCCAAAATAAATCACCAATGTCATTGTCATCCTGTTGATTTTGGCCATCTTCCTCCACCTCATTGTTATTGTTCCCATAACCAGCACCGAAACTACCTCCAAAACCACTTCTAGAACTTGTACTAGCAAATCCATCAGACACATATCGAACAACATTATTTATAACATTTTCATATTAGTCATCAAAAAGCACATTAAACCAATTTGCATCCACATCTACAAACATAATATAATATCAATTTTGAACCTGCAGAGTACCAGTAAAAATACATGTTCATGGAAGAATATGTTTTGAATATTTTTAATGTTAATGACGACCTTAACTTAACCCAAAGCAATTACGCTTGGAGCAATCCCTAATTATCAAATATATTTTACTTATAAGTAATTCATTTAATATTTTACAACACATCTATAATTTAAATTTTCAACCTGTAAAATACAGGTAAAAAGACATTGTCTATTGAGGAATTTGTTTAAAATATTATAAACTTCAAAGGTGACATGAACTTAACCGAAAACAATTACATTAGAGCAATCCCTAATTATCGAACATATTTTACCTATAAGTAACTCATTCAATATTTTACAACATAAGAATAATTTCAATTTTCAACCTGTAATGTACCGGAAAAACAACATTGTCTATGGAACAATTACGTTGGAGCAATCCCTAATTATTGCACATATGTTACTTTTAATTAACTAATTTAATATTTCACAGCACAACCATGCATTTCTTTTAAAGGGAAAATATCTATAATAGCAAAGTACCTTAAACTATAACCAACCAACGCAAACCAAGCCAGTCATTGACCAAAAGTTATCAAACCAAGCACAAGACCAGCCATAAAGTTGTTTGCAAAACATAAATGAACTTGCTTTATTGATTAAATAGCAGCCCTATCAAATATAACTTCAAAATTTATTTACAAAACATAAGTATTAAGCTTTATTGACTAAACAATAGCCCTCAAATCAACAACTAACCTTCTAAATTCAAAGCACTTGACGTGGCAGTGTCAAACCAGTAAAAAAATCTTCTCAAAACAAAGCAATACACGTGGGAATGCTTGAAATATTTGTTGGCAGCTAATGAAAATGTTTTGAAATGAGAATGCAACTTAAATAGAAACACACACACAACACAAACCACTTTCTTTACTACCATTCAACTCAATAACCCTTAACTTATACCATTATCAACCATTCAACTCAGCAACCCCCATTCAAACCGTTAGCAGCCATTCAAGTCAGCAACAATCATTCACAGTAGTAACTAACATTCAACAAATTAACAGCCATTTAACTCAGAAACAACCATCAAATCTAAGAAATTACAATATCCAATTCTAGGCTGAAACAACAAACTCAACACAAAGTTTTTTAGCCATTCAAACAAGTCTATAAAAGTCAACATGAAACCTAAAATTACAGCTTGTAATAGGTACAAGAATAGATGTTTAAGATATCTTAAACATAACTCATTATCCTACAGTTACAAATACAAAAGAATTGCTCAACATAGCATATGTTACAAATTAGAAATCTAGAAAAAACAGTAACGACTAAACCTTTTTCATTAACCATTTGGCAACAACATAGCCGCTGCACTCATGCCATACACCTCACCATAAGGATTAATATTGTAATATTTTAACTGCAAAAAACACATAATCATACAATATATTAACGACTCATTGAAATAAAAACCAAACATGATAAATGTGCTATACATTCAAACAACACTTCAAATATGAAATGCATAAAATACTTACCAAAACATATAACACACAATAAAATTTACTTGCTGCTAGATATAATATACATAACTATAAGTGTTCCCTATATCAAATGTATACTTACATCAAGTTTTGTAGTTTGCCCTTCGATTGAATATTAATTTCAATCACGAAAATTTTTTACCTATAAAAAACTCAGTTGCAAAACAATAAAGCTCGTTGTCGAAAACCACTTTCTCAATGGAGTGAAACTCCTTTATAACCTCTTTATGCTACATCTTTTTTTTTTTTATCTAAACCACTTGATGTGCATTAAACTCCTTCATGACCTCTTTATGCTACATCTTTTTTTATCTAAACCACTTGATGTGCATTCACTCTTGGTAGATATACTATCAACCAACTTATCTAAATACGAAAACAATTACAATCCCCTTCTGGCACCGCTTTTTTTTTCTTATTTTTTTATGAACATTGTTGCTCACCTTTTCTCTTTTCACTACTACTAATAGGATTGCTTATGTTGTTAGCAAAAGTAACACCAATAACTATATTATTGATATTGTCAATAAAATTTGGTAGACTATCATCCTTAGAATCTCCACTATCTTCCTCTAGACGAGGTTCCTCATTTATTGTATTAGTTCGTCTTTCACCTACACCATCTTCATCAAAATTCAAACCCTATGATTGAGCCCAAACATACTGAGCAATAGCAATAATGTTTGTAAACATAATATCATATTTACAATATAATGTGGGATCGATGTTAGCATGCCTAAACTTTCTTGCTCTGCGTATCTCCTACAATAAGGGATAATAGAGATAAAAATGCATAAAAAATAGTGTAATAGCACTTAATTAAATTGTTTATTATAGCTTTACACATACTGAAAAAACCAGACCTTGATTTTAATTGTCCACCATTCATCAGGTATCAAAATTGTTCCAAGTCCAGCATTCCAGCCTACTCCTATTTCAAAAATCAACATTTTCCATATTCTCAAATATTTTTTAATTCCGCCCCATTTATTCTTTAATTATGCTTTTGTTAATGCATGACCATTTTGATCCTTAAAGCAATTTATAACATATTTCCAACTAGTTTTGTTGAAATGTGTGTTCGGTCGCATACCTTACTCTATTGCTTTAATATATATGTCACAAAAAGCATGCAACATCTCTTTAGCCCAACAAGTCTTATCTTGTGATTAAGAATCATCCATGTTCTTGGTTAAAATGTTATGTCTATACAATTAACAGGTTAATTTTCTCGTCCATGTTCTTGGTAAATGCTATGTCTATACAATTAACAGGTTAATTTTCTAGAGGCAATGTAAAGGACATGGAATGTATAATCTATCTTAATGAAATCGCCAACTTAAATAAAACATGCAATTTAAGAACATAAACTTAACATAATCAGCTAACCACTTTAATTGCTAGGTATATTTACATTTTTATTTCTACAAGCCAATGTTTTCATTTCCTAAGTAGAATCTGTCAATTATATAATGTATCATTAACTGTTAAGATTTCTTAGATATAATTTTCTCATGTGTTTAATTACATAATCAGAAGTGATATAAAGCAGGAAAATATCTTGAGGGTCATGTTAAGTAGCTTGATATTCACACAGGTTTTATGTTTATACTCATTAAACTGAGATAATAAATGTAACAATTACACACATGTAAATTCTAAAAACACACGACAACTAACAATGATGCTAATTGTTGCACCGAAACACTGATAAAAAAATCTAACAATTACACACATGTAAATTCAGAAAACACACAGCAACTGACATTGATGCTAAATGTTCAATAATTACACATGTAAATTCTCAAAAAACCCACAGCAACTGAAAATTAAAGATTAATTGTACTTGTGTAATCGAAACAGAGCAACTAACCTTGAAGTTACTTGTGCAATTAAAACAAAGATTGGTAAGACTGCATGTGCTTTAGCTTTCCAGGAGACTGATTTTGATGCCCTATTTGGTTCTAGCAAACAAAACAAAGATAAGAAAATTATATTTAGAGAAAGCCATTTGGTATGTTTGTGGTAGTAGATAAGGCATGATATATGCAATTTTTTAGGTATAATGACAAGATAATTACCTTGGTGAGTGTGTGTCTTCTTCAACTACGAAAGGAGTTCATACAGGCAGCAGATCGGTAGCAGATGGGCTTGATCTACACTCAGCTACAAACATTGGTGACTGGGTTCGATCTGTGTGAGAGCATGAAGAACAGTGTAGGAAGTAAGGAATCGGCCAATCAAGGTGAATGTGTGAGGTTAAGGTGAGCTGGGCATGACAAAGGAAAACATGGTAGAGAGAGTACTGATTAGTACTTAAAAGTGCATTTTTATCATGGTTTTATATCATCATTTTGCACTTGAAGTATCAATAACTCCTTAACCAAAGCATATTTTATAATAATATATCTAATAATATAAGATAACTTTAATTTGTGGTAAATGT